TTTTAAGACAAAGGGAGTGGCAGGCGCAGCAGCAACAGCGTTCGCTGGGGAGCAATAGAGATGAGGGACCAGAGTCTGGAGCTGGAGCTGGCGCCGCGACATCCCGACGCCATTGTTCCACTCAAAGCAGGATTACATAGAGCGAGAGAAAGGGAGAGGGAGAGAGCGCCCAAAGTAGCATCCATCCAACCATCCATATGGATAAACTGGCTCTGAGTGGGGGCTGTGGCTGTTGTTCCGTTTTTTAATACATATTTTCAACCCCCAACATCGCTCCAAGGACAATGCGAGCTCAGGGAGCCGGATGACGCATGAGAGCGATAGCGAGAGCGAAAAGCCAGTCACTTGCCTCTGCCTTGCACTTCTCCTGTGACTTTTGGCGCTGACCCACTTACGGACAACAATTGGGTACGCTGGGATGTGGAACCAAGTCTCTGGATATTGATATATACTACATATATGTACATATGTTTGTACAGTGTAGTTGTGGCCTTGACACGAGCGGAAACAGCGGGCGAAGGCTGCAGCTGAAGATTGCAATTTCGTCAGCTTCCCCCCGAATAGGATGGATCGGGCGGTGAAGGTCACTCCATCCTCTTGAGATGAGACGATGGCAAGCTGTTTTTGGCCCGACCTGGCCAGGCGGCCACTCCATAAAAGGGGCGTCTGGCTGTGCGTCAAGCGGATGCGACCAGGGGCAGCAATTGGATAAGATAGCCGGCTCCGAGTATGGCTGCCGTGGCGACTCGACTCGACTCGACGACTCTTGCCGGCTTGCGACTCAAGTGTTTACCTTAAAAAGCTTTTATCGGCAATTGATAACGACTTGCGCAATCCACCAATATCCATCGTAGCCATACGAGTATAACCAAGATGATTATGATGATGATTTTAGCCATGAGTCAGCCCACTTTTACCCGTTAGAGACGCATATGGCATGCAAATAGTAATGGCTAAAACACACCGAGCTGCGGTTTGAAGTGTGACTCAAATGATTTGCATACGATCTTACAGGTGGAGTCACCATCACAACCATTGTATGTAATTCAAGGGGTAATTAACATTCCATAACCAAAGAACCCTCTGCTGACTGCTAATGCGTTTATGGCCGGGAAAATTTACTTAAGGCTTTGGCGAGGATTACCCTCATGGTATCTAGTTTGTTATCTGCATACGAGATTAGTTATTAAGGTGATGTGATGGAATTATTCCATGTATTTTCTATGAGCTGTGTGACACGCAGATGGGGCATGAGCAAAAAGAACCACAGATGATGAGGCATACCTTTAGGCGTTAGTCAGAGTGTCGAAGAAGATACTCACTTACTCACCACACCTTTAACATTACTAATCAATTTTCTGCAAGTTTCTGCAAATATGTGTATCTCCCCCTAGTTCCGGTGGAAAACTAATTTCCGCTTCTGAGCTGCACTCTCATAAATGAGTTCGCTTGTTGCCCTTCCCTTCCCTTCCCGTTCATTGGAAGCATTGCTCTGTTCTTGATGTTGTGTGATTTTTATCAGTTCCCATTAACAGAGGAACAAACATGCCCGTGCATGCACTCATGCATTCCCTGCATATGTACCTTTCCCTATACCATCCAATGACGTAATGATCCCACAATGCAACGCTTTCTTTTCTATCTGCAGTTCGCTGTCATGGCTCGCCCATTGAGGAGGAAACAGACTACCAGGGCGATGACTACGACTATGGCGATACGGATGGTGACGATGGTGATAATTTGGAAGGAGCAGATCCCCCCGAGAACCAAGAACTGTCCGGTTCTCCGCCATACTTTGACCAAACCGAACTGAGGATCGAGGCCAAGCCGGGCGATGATGTGATCCTCAATTGTGATGCACGCAATTTCCAAAGTGAGTTTACCCACAAAAGACTCGCCCAAAAGACCCGAATTGAATAAGTTCTTCCTCTTTCGACAGTCAACAACGCGGTGATGTGGTACAAGGGCACGACGATCATTGCGAATGGCCAGAATTCGGTCAGCAACCGCGTGGAGGGCATGAAGAACAACTCGATCCTGTTGAGGGGTGTCACGTCTCACGACTCAGGCGAATATAATTGTGCCATACTTCCGCAGAACGTTCGACAGATAACGACACTGAGGGTGGGCGCCCGGCTGTCGATCCTCTGCGACGATCGCGATGTTACGGATCGCTCGCAGACGTTCAGGCAGGGCGACCACCACAAGCTCGAGTGTCGAACGTACCTATCGGCAGAGACCAGCATCAAGTGGTCGTTTAATGTATGTTGACCGGGTCCCGAGATCATCCTTACCACATCCACTTACCCGTGCCCCTCCCCCACATTTCCCAACACCTACTTTCAGGGTCAGCGCGTGGAGTCATCCCCCGAGGACACGGCCGATGGGATCATTGTGCTGGACAACGTAGACGAGATGAACGCAGGCGTGTATCAGTGCCTCGGCGACGATGGGAGCCGCGATCCGCCTCACGGCATGGTCACCATCGATGTCCACTATAGCCCTAAGGTCTCCACGCACCGGCACCACGTGAACACGGAGCATGGCGGCACTGCCGAGATGTACTGCAATTATCGCGCCAATCCTATTGCCATCAGCTTCTTCATCAAGGATGGCAAGACGCTGCAGCTGTCCGAGAAGTATTCGATCAAGAACTCCTTCCACAACGGCCACAATCGTACCACACTAATTGTCAAGGATGTGGATGTCGGCGACCTGGGCGAGTATCTGTGCCACGTGGAGAACGCCATTGGCTCAAACGAGGCAAAGATCCACCTCAGCTATGACCCGGAGACGCCGCAATTCGAGGACATGACCATCGACGGCACTAAGGTCACCATGCACTGGCTGGTGCGCAGTCTACAGCCTCTGTCCGAGGCCATGCTCGACTACAAGCTGACAGGGGTAAGCAATCTGGTCCCTCTGGAGCGCTATCGGAGAGATCTGACTAATTCTTTCATCTCCCTGCAGTCGTACACTTGGAGCACTGTTTCGGTTCTGCAAACGCAGCGACATAATCAGACGGGAGGCATCTGGAAGATCACGCATCAGCTGGATCTGCCGGCACGAGGCCTTTGGCATGCCCGCGTCAAGACGAGGAACACCCAGGGCTGGTCCAACTTCTCGCCAGATCATGATTTCCGCCTAGCGGACGATGACGGTGAGTCATCTTCATATAAGTGCTCTCCTAGCCATGAACTCATATTGCAACCCATTCCCATTTTTTTTCCGTAGCATCCAATGAGCTTATCGATATGAATCTTCCACCAGACCAGATCATGCGGGCCGGCATCGGGGGCTCAGTGGGAGGTGGAGCAGCATCAGCGTTACAGCAGTTGCCTGCTGGCTCGTTCTTCTTGGCAGGTCTCAGCGTGCTCTGGCTGCGGCTGCGGCTCTAAGGGGTGCCGCCACTCTGGGCCATCCGGTGGACTGTACATACGTATTTCCGGATCACTTAGCTGGCGAAAGCAGCGAAAGAAACCAGCATACACACACGCACACACGAAACGCAAATAGGAAAAGAAACTAAAGTATTCTAATTATACAAAATGCTAATGCGCGCTGATCCACCATTGCTTGGGGTCAATGTTAATGCTAATCCCCATATTATAATGCACGCTGGAGCGATCGCCACTGAAACATTTGTGCCAAGCAGAGGATGGAATCAAAAATGGGAGGACTACGAGCGAATTAAAGTTAATTTAGTTTAGTTAAAGTAAAAATGTATACAGTGGATGGGAAGTGGATGTGAATGTGGATATGGATAAGGAAAGAAATCTGCGAAGATCGGTTAAAAACCGCCCAAAAAGGATGAACTTTGGATTAACCTTAGCTGTAATATTTATTTGTTTTGTATGTTGTACGAGTATGCATGTGAGTGGTGGCAGTGAGGACGAGAGGGAGAAACTTCCTTGTTACCTGAATCCGAACCGTAAAACGAATATAAAACGAAAGCCCACTTTTTGGGGAGCGCTCACGCTGGTATAGATGTACGGTGTGTACCTCTTCCATGGATCTAGTCCAGTGTGAGCAGGTCGTCCCTTCCCAGGCGGTGGGTCATAGTGTAGATCAAAAATGGGTAAAGATCTAGTGAATTTTTAGGATTTGCCATATGTACACACAATATTTTTGGATAGCCAAGCGTACTTACAGCATTTTTGAGAGCGAATCAGTGGGTGACGGGTGACCGGAGGTCTAGAAGGAGAACGAAAAAGGGAGGCAGGGAGGCGGGTAGAGATCTATCGAATGGCACGCGAATTATTATATAAACTAGACCAAAGCTTAGACATACATATGTGTACCTACCATACCCATATATGTATATGATACCTATTTTTACGAAACCTACGCCACATCAACTCAATGGGAACCAGAAGAAACGATACGAACATTACACATCAGACAAAGGGATGCGTATGTACTTATACTTAAGAGATACTGAACAAATCGATGAGAGCTAAACAGCCATACATATAATTATTCATAATCAGGCCTCAATCAACAAACAAAATACCTTTGTCTTTGATTCTGCTACAATACCTGAGGGGAAATCGCCATAACATGCTGACCATGTACACTATATAGTACGTGCGTATCTATAATCAAATTGTGAGTGTAAGAATATATTTTATATATATTTTATTTAAGAATTATAACATTAAAGCTGATCAATAAACGTGCCAACTGAAGCAATCAAGCGAAATTGATTCTTCCCAGAAATCAATCAAAAGAAAGTTCCATAAACAAAGTTTTGAAAAACAGAACCTGATTTCGACAGCCGACCTTTAAGCATATATGTATACAGAATCATATATACTTACAAATATATATATATACAATACATACATGTGTATATCAAAAAGCCAGTGTCTTACATGGATATTGTAATTTCGTTGAGTCCACAAAAAAGAGAAATGAAATATAACTAAACTAAACAAATTTGTAATTCTTTTAATCTCTTAGAGATCGCGATCCAATCGAAGGGAGAACTCAGACAAATATTGATTTCATGCCGCAGTTTCTGTATACTTTGGTTCCTTTTTTATTTAATAAATAAAGTTGATTTTGTCTTTACAAATACACAAATTTACAATCAACAAAGACTTCAAATGCTCATTTTCCTGTGAGAAGAGTGAAGAGTGGAGAGCGAAGAGTGTAGAGTGAAGGGGGGATTGGGCACATACATATCTCTGCAAATCTAGTACTAGACTTAACTAACGTCTGCCGAACTTCAGCAGACAGACTCCAGTCAGCACTGGCCACAGAAGGGAGGCGGGAAGGCTGGGCAAACTGCTCGACGCGGAGGTGGAGCTCTCCGGTGCTATGGCATCGAGGGAATGTTCGGCGATGACCACCTTGGTGTTCAGGACGGAGCCCTGGGGCAGGGCCTTGCAGTAGTAGTCGCCGGCGTCCTGTGGACTTGCCTTCAGTATGGTTAGGTCGTAGTTTGCAGTGTCCAGCTTAAAGTTGGGCTGCACCAAAGTGCCGCCATTGGCGATGATGTTCTTCCCAAAGAACCACAAGATGCTCTCTGCAAGGTCAAAGCGGCGTCGTTAGAGGAGATAATGGGCAAGGTTTACTGGAACTTACGGGTGATGTCCAGGTCGCACTTAAGGACCACATCCTCGCCGCGGATGCCCGTTACGGTTACGGTTCTGTTTGGCTGCGCACTGTCGGTCTTGGCTGGAATTTGGCCTGTCTTGGCCTGTTGACTGGACGTACCCTGGTCATCCTGTTCGTACTCGAAGTCATCGTCCGCCATCATTTCGTCCTCATCAGTGCCGGACTGGGGGTATGAGAGCACTGAAACGATGATAAATTAAACGTTTAGACATAAAATTCCAGGATCCACCATTCCAAAACATAATTATAGCCCATTGCGAGCGATGATGCTTCTACTGTTTATAATAGCGGCTGTGGGGGGTCGGGTCCCAGTGGCAGTACCACCACATCTAGTCGGTGGGTTAATTAAGCGAAATTAAATGGAAATTGAAACCAACTCGAAATGCATTAGGCCCATCATCATCCGGCTATCAGCATCTGTGTTTTTTTTTTTTTTTTTTGTTTGCGTTCCCTCAATTTTGCAGCTCAATTTCGTTGACGAGACGGGAGAGGGGACGGGCCAGACAGCTGCGCTGATGATGGGTTAAAGGCGATTCGCATTCACCGTTTTCCATTCTTCATTATTTTCGTTCTTTTCGTTTTCCTCCGCACACATGCACATGCACACGCATGTACAAACATATTTTGTCGAAAACATTTCGGTAAAATGGGGTCACATGAAAAACGAAAATTAAAATGAGCGTATGGAAAGAGAAAACAACAAGAGTGTGCCTAGTGCCTAACACTAGCATACTCCCCCTCTTTGTCTGCCCAAGGTATATTAAATGGAAGGTAAGGCAGTGCAAAAGAGTGGTTGACTGCCACCCGCACTGCTTTACCTTCCATATAATCTACCTTGGGACTGCCTCTCCCTTCCATCCTCACCCACTTTCCGGGGTGTTGGTATTGGTGTTGGTGCAACGGTGTCGGTCGGGCGATCGCCGCCGCACCCACATGTAACGTGCTGACGGGTATGGCAGCAGCAGAGGGACAGTGGGCTACTTTTGTTTTTGGTGGTGTCACCACCACCGAAGCAGAGCATTGAAAGCATTTCACAACAATGTCCATTTTCATAGTGCCAACTGCAGCACTCTCACAAGCACACACACTGGCACACACACCCTCGGAAAAGGGACAGTCTGATGATTGTGAAAAGTTTAAATTTACATTTTGTACATTTGCTTGTGCTCTTGTCTTGTCTTCCTGTGTGCGTTTATTTATTATGGCCACTGTTGTGTCGCTTTTCTGCTGCTCAGCGTTGCGTGGTTTAGTTGTTGGCGATACAACGAAATCAAAAATAAAAGAACGCCAGCACGAAACTTTTGATACCCTGACAGATCGATCGTTACAATGGACCCGAAGTGTCACTAGGAAGATTACTCTCCTCCTCAAAGACACGAGTACAAGGTGACTTCCAGCTCCAATTCCAGTTCCTGCCATTAATTGCGAGAGAAAGGATTGAATAAAAGGAATGAATGGGAATTGGAAAGCAAACAGCGATCAACAACAACTACAGCAGCGAAAGAGGTTCTCGGGCACTCTCTTTCTCTTCTACTTGCATTCCTACTGCGTGCCCTGAGCCATGGCCTCCCTCCCGCTCTATCACTAAAAAATGCACATTCACTCACGCATTGTCCGAGCGGGTTGGCTGCTCTTTTGTCGTAAACTTTGGCCATAAAAGAAATTTATTCTCGTATTTATGTACATTGAACCAAACAGCAGACACAGAAATCCCCAAAAAATTCATTTTTTTTTCCCCCCATCTCCCACAAAACAATCCATTGAACCAGGAAGATAAGAAATAACAACAACCTTTAAGGGAATTCTCATTGCGGATTTGGGCTGAATGATCTGCTTGCCTTCCGCCTGGACGAGAAAAACTTCCGTAATTCTAAGAAAAATGTATATGTGAGTGTACAAAAAAAAAAAAGAAAACAATAAAAGCACTTCAACATGTAATAAAAAATTGTATTTTGAAAGTAATTTGTGGATTCAATGTATTTCTGTTTTGATAAGTGAAAAGGGGGGCCCAATGCGTTTAAAGAGAACTTGGGGAATCCTGATACATGCTTACATATAATTAAGGAGCATTTTTAAATTTGATTAAAACATAACTTTACGGTGTAATTTTCCACATGACTGACTCTGCTATTACAAATTTATACCCCTCGCATTGGATCTTTTTATAAACAATACTCCCAAAATTATATTTTCCCCGGATTATGTTCACGTCCATGTTTTTTCTATCTGTAGAGATAAAAGTTTCCATCCTTCCATCCAACCCATGTTCCTGCCCAACTTTAATTGGTACTTAGAACTGGGCCAAAAGTAATTTATCATAACCATGATTCCGACAAAAAAGAAATAGAGGGAATAAAATGCAGTTCAGAGTCGGCTAATAACCCAAAAAGTCGAGTTAGCTTTAATGCCAGTCACTCACTCCCTCCGGCCACTACATCTGGCCTTTTGGCCCTCTGCTGCTGACCGGGAATCATTCAAGTGCAGCATTTTTGTTGTCTTTACTACCTGTGATAAGGCCCGGGGAAATTAAGAGCCAGCTCTCTGATCTTTGATCTCCTTTCTGTGTGTGTGTGTGTGTGTGTGTTTCAGCTTTGTCTGTCTGGTTCGCCCTGTCCCTTGTCCCCGAACGTGACTGACCAGACCCAGACACAGACCCAGCCAGACCCTGGCCCGGAGTGGAATGGAGTGCGTTATATGAGCCGAAAATTGTCTGTGCTGTGTGGCAGGAGGTGGTCTCTTTGCCTGCGTGTGCGAGTGTATCCGTATGTGTGTGTGTGTGGCAGATAGAGACATGAGACAAGGCGGATAATGATAATGGCATTCTGGTTCTGTGAAAGCGATCAGGTTACGGCCACGAAGCGACAAAGAGAGGGAACATCATAAAACGACCCGAGACTACCTACGCACAGAGGATTCCCAATTGGCCAGGAGCAGAGGGACATCCATAGAGGGGGTGGGGAGAGGTGGGAGGGTAGCATAGGATCGTTTCGCGCAGATGTACGGATCATTGACAGATGCCCAAAATAGCACACATTATTCGCATTCCGTTCGGGCGTGTGCCTGGAAGGGATTGAGGGATTGAATTGGCCAAAGAGTGCAGACTCTATCCAGGCAGATGCTGCCGTCGCGCCGGCTAGCCAAAAACTAATGGAGCATTTTCCATTTTCTAAATAGAGAAAATATGCAAATCCAGTGCGCATTTCAAATGAATGCTTTTCCCGGCTTCAATTTCTCTAATCGATTCATTTCACTTTGTATTTGTTCGATGTGCTTATAGCTATGGATGTGGTCTTTGGGGATGGTGGATATTCGAGGACCGGCATCAAGTGGCTTCAATAAATTTCGATTTTCAGTGATCCAAAACATATATGTATGTATATGCCTTTATGTATGTATTCCCATCCCATCCCATCCCATCCGAATAGAAAACTTTGATTTCACTTAAACGATTTTCCATTGTGCCCAGTGATCGTCCACTGACGCCTTCAACATACCATTCTGTATGTTCTTTCTGGCACACCAACGTAGACATGCCCCTCTTGGCTGTGCACGTGTCGGCAGCACTTAGATGGGGCAAGTGCCACGGATTGTGCGGGCACCCAGCCAACAGCAGAGAGGGTCGGTACGGCCATATAGACGGCTACTATATAGTCATTCAGCCAGAGTCAGAGCCATAGTCATACGAGCAGTAGTCGTAGATGAGCGCAAGGCGAGGCGCGACTCTGGCTACGCCTAGCGCATATTAAACTGCTCCGAGAGGCAGGGCTCGTGTTTTCCCCATTACCATTCCTATTCTCATTCTGAGTCCCATTCCCATTCAAGTGGCTCTCTCTGGCGGCTTGTAATTAATATGCGGCACTCCTTTCTTGTTCTTCCCCTAGCCAGAAACTATTTGGGCAAGGTTTGTTCTTCGATTTGGGTTATTTATTGCCATTTGGGATGGTTCGAAAACCCTTGGTTGGCCAAAGAGCCGAATCCAAAGGGAGACCCACTATGGGTTCCACAGACATTTTGGCACAAGACACACAAATATTTGAGACTTTTTTGTGACCAAAATTTCAATTATTTCATATTATTTAAATTTCAGATAATTAAATAAATAACTAACTCGATGTGAAATGCGATACTATTCGGGAATTGGTATTTATTTTTGACAGATTTTTGGCAAATTTTGTGATTTTCTTTTGAAAATGTTGAGAAAATAAAAATAGATTATGGTGAATCATTGGAAATGCCACATTTGCTATAATCCTTTAATGGACTTAACCCACATAAAAGATATTTAAAGCTCAAAAATAGCTTGTATCGACATATTTCTTTGTAATTTGGGTGAGTACTCGTACTCGTACAGCATGTACTGGGGATGTACTCTCCCCTCATAAGTTGCCACTTCTTCTGTATTGGTCATAAATTCTGAAAATATTTGTATCCCAAGCCGAGGCATCTGCGGCTTTGGGCTTCTGTTGCATCTGAATCAGCATTTCAGTTGAGTTCTTCATTATCGTTGTGATCATCCGAGTTTTATGTACACGTACGAATTGCTACACATGTACATATATACCATATGTATATGTATATGTATATGTATATGTATATGTATATGTATATGTATATGTATATGATGCCCCACTTGAGTTGCAGCAGCACTCCCTCTTGAATGCGATGCCCGCACCCCGGCAACCCATTCAGCGGCAGCCAATTCGCCAGCAACGTTAAGTAAATTGATTCTTTAATTGTAGAGAATTGGTTACGAGTTTGTTTAACTCGCTTTTGCCGGCTGCCTTTGCCTCTGACTCTGTCGCTGTCGTTGACTCTGCCCCCTCTAGCCCACACCACAAAGCCCCCATCTGTGCTGCAGTGGATGCAGCCGCGTGGCAAGAGAACCCAGCACGAATACCAGGCCAGGGCAATGGAGTAGAGACACACACAGAACCGTGGCACGACCAGAACCGACAACCATCAATGAGTCACATATTCCAAAATAAATGCACCCGGGCCAGAGGCAGTTGAAGATGTGAAGGAGGAGGAGGTATATCTGCACAAGAAGACCCAGACAAGAGCAGGGCCGTCACTGCTCCTCACTCCCCCACATCCCGGGACATAACAAAATCTCTTTTCATGCTTTTCTGGGCTCCTCTTTCAATGTTCGCGGTCATTTGATGCCTCCTTTCAATTCGCACCAAGCCGACTACAAAATGCCATGTAATTCAATCCCCCAAGCGGGAAAGAGATGGCAGAGAGAGAGAAAGGGAAAGATATATGTATGTATATGGCAATCCTCGGATCTGATGATCATCAGTTAGACTTGTTGTTTACCCATGTCAAGCATTCAGCGAGACAACTATGGAATATTAAGTAAATATGGTAAATATAGAGAGAAGGAAACACACACACAGCAGAATTCCTTGCGAAACTTGTGAGAATATCAAGAAGGGATCGTCTTAAAAGAGAAACCCATCCTTAGCCGGGAACGAACTCTTACTCCTATTTGGCAATCCAATCACTCTGATCATAATCGCATTGTTTATGGCTCTAGGGTAAGCAAACAACACCCGGAGAGAAAAGGGTGTTCCAGGTGATCTACGGACACGATCAATAATGTTCTCACGCTTCTCCTTCAGACACGCTTCTTTAGCGGAAATCTTACCTACTGTCTTGCGGTGAGTCGAGGGCTAATTAATACGCGAGACCCCGAGAATCCGATGCCGATGCCGATGCCGCTGCCTCTATCGCTGCTGATCGCAACCCCAGCCGGCTATCAATGGGATTGTTTTTGCCATTCCGCTGTTTGCTCATTTCCTGGGTCGTCTCGACAGGCACCGCCCGGGACCGCCTGACAATAAGAAGAGTCTGGAATAATTAACAGCCGTAACCGATTCGGAATCACAAATGCCAAATGGCAAATGGCACACACCTCTAGCCTTCGCTGTGCTATGGCTGTCCCCTCCCCAAATGCCATCCACACACACAACGCACACTCATTTCCTACTGAATGAATGAGCGGAGAAAACTTGAATGCATTCAACTACCATTCATCGGATCGGGTCGTGATAAATAACTGAATTAATGCGACAGCCTGCAGTCGATAAATTATTGCATTTACTGTTCGATGCAACTGGCTGTAAAATGTGCAGAAATTAATAATCAAACTACTATCAACAATAAATACACATACAGCTAAAAATATCATTTGCATAAGGCGGATTTTTATTTGCACAGTAGCAAAAATATCAGGAGATGAAAGATCATCATCATCAGCCATGAATCATTGTAATCTAACGAGTATTCCGGGGAACATCCATTGCTCATCCGCTCATCCAAAATCCCGAAAGTTGAATCATCTAAATCATCCCAATCATGGAATGCCAAAAACCATAAAAAAGCTCAAAGTTCAGTATAAGATCTTTGCTGGCAAGGGACAAATGTAGGTCAGAACTAGTTTGAAAAAGCAACTCAACAATCACATCGATTTATAGTAAATTCCTGCATTTCAAATCCGAATCTGATGCACTGCGATTAGTGCGCACGGGGTCGGACGGCCTCAAGCCTTAAGCACCCAGCCCCAAGCCCCAAGTCTGATTAGATAATGCCCTGAACACAGCCCACGATTGCATCAGGTCTAACTCTAACCCCACAAAGCCGCTTCACTTTGATTTCCCGCACTTACCCAGGGAGCTGCCCACGATCAGTAGGATTCCGGCAATTAGCAGAGCTCTTCGGGACATCATTTTTGATGGGTTTTGATCTGCTGGCTCACTCACTACCAGGCGACGAATATGTATCCAATGGGTTGTGTATTTGGTTTTTGTCTAAATCGAAAACTGTGTCACTTGTAGAAGTTTGTTTTTTTTTTTTTGGGAATTATGCCGCGTAATTATGTTGACGGTGGATCGTAGCAATTTCCGGCTAGCACTGTCAGCACTTTTCTCCTTAGGGAATTTTTATTGATTTCAGAACTATTATTTTTTTCCAGAATTATTACAGTAGCTCCCGAGCGCACACAACAACACAGTGCTAACACGATCCACAACCTATTTTTTGTACTTTTCGAATTCGAACTCGAGCTTGAATCGAAATTCCGTTATTACCGTTCGGCACCAGAGCAGAAATACGAATGAACATGTCTGTGCCTGTCCGCTTATGCTTGCTTTGGGCCGCCGCCTGTCTGGTCTGCCATGTTGGCAAAGAGAGAGCGTAAGCAGCGCGCGCTCGCGAGAGAGAGAGGGCGCTCAGAGAGCGCTGACGGTGTGGCGGGAATAAATTGTATTTTGAAAACATTCGTTTCAGTTTCAGGGGCTATATTTATAGAAGGAAAGCATTTCCTGGCCATAAATATGAAAGCGAAAGGGCTTTACGGATGTAGACAGAGGAAAATATGGATTAAAATTATGCCAGATTTGGGCCAAGGGCTTTACATAAAGCTCTCCCACGAGCCTTGTTTCATTTCCAATTAAAAACTTAATTATTACTTCATATGTGTAACAGAACTCCCTGGAATTATGCCACATGCTTGAGCTGCATTCCTGCATCTTCCCCTGCCCCTGCCCCTGCCCATGCCCCAAGCCTCAAGTTCCACTCCAAGATGATTCGCGGAAATTTCTTTGCATCCCCCAAAGACAATTTGCTTAATGGAATCGCGAGTTCTCAGGCATCCATTGGATTCTGTTCCTCGGAGTGTTTGAGTCTGGGAATGGGGGCTGTGCTTGTTGATGGCACTAACAAAACTGTGATTTCCTTGCGGCAGACCAAAGCCATGGGGCTGGATGGGATGACTGGGGACTGTGTACACTTGGGGTGGCTGGATCTGGATATACCCGGTAGTCGTCGCGGCTCACAGGGGTATGTCGCACTCAAGGAGAAATAGAGGCCTTCAGGGATTTGAACCTAGAGTTGATAGTCCATAATATTCCCAAATTGATCCCAATTGATCTTAAAATTGATTACGGTCATCTATTGTGTTTATTAATCAAAACTTTATTCTTTTTGTATGTATTCTCAGGCTTTTGCATCCCAAATGCGATGTATCTGCGTAATAGGTACTCTAAAGTCTTCTACCATCTAAAGTTGTCCTACTTGTTTGCTTATTTGTCAGTGTCTGATGACGCCTACATTGGAGACAGGCACATCCAGAGACACAGATACCGATACAGGCAATCCAACAGATGCAGATACAATTTATGCCCTGCCGGCCACAGAGTCAGGCCACAGCGTCAGCATTAAATGTATCTACATGCATACATGCAACATTGGCACTGCACAAATAAACAAACAAACAATTAAAATTAATCTACGAGCATAAAACAAAGTGCATTGCATTATGTGTTGTATCTGTATCTACGACTATATGTGTGTGTGTGAGTGTATGTGGTTATTTGTTTTGTCTTCTGTTGGGTGCCAAGCCTGTAAACATCCGCAAATCTAGAACCATTCATTTGGGGGAGCCAGCCCCCATTCGAGGGGCGTGGTTATTAATCAAATATTTATATTTACTCACACACACACAGAGCACAGCACATACAGAAAAGTGAGAGATTTCTTTTGGTGGCGGCGTTGCATCCCATCCACAGAATTTCCAAGAATTCCATTCTTCTAGAAACAAATTAATCAAACAAAAAGTAAAGGCTCTATAGACGACATTCCGACTTTAAGGTACCCGCTACGAGAGAAGAACTAACCAATCGCGGAATTGTTAGATAATGTCTTAATTTAATCTTGCATATCATCCAAAGTATGGCTCCATCACCTGTCTTAATTTGATTTATTTTCAATGATTTGTTTGAGATCTACGTACTCCTGCAGACAGATCGACTCGTTGAGTCTGATGCTGTCGATCGATGTCGATACAACACACCCCTCGGGCCCCTGCTAGTACAGGGTATACCAAGAGCGACAACAAAGTTAAAAGCCATCCGCAAGAACAACAACAACAATAAAAAATATAAGAAAAACTATGCGCTGTCAGCACAAAATTAGTTGAGAATCGAAATACCCGCCAAGAGCCACGCAGACTCCCCACGGCCCGCAGCGGCAAAGAGAGTGAGCTGCTATTTAAGAGAGCGTTTAATTCGGTTTATGCTGGCTCTCAGCAAAACATAGACGCGGTGAAGCTGGAGTTAGAGAATGGGATATATTATGGGGGAGGTGTGGGCGGTAGAGCAACCTGGTAGTTGCTGCAATAACTGCACAGTCCAAGGGAATGCTGGAAAGTGGAACTGCACGAGTATTTAGAATGGAATTGACCTAGGGTCCCTCTCTCTCTTTGGCGTTCGTGACGTGCATGCCGAATGGGAAATTGAGTTCTTCACACTGCAGGAAGCCAGCCGAGCTCTCCCTCTCTCTCTCTCTCTGACACATTTCGGTTAGCTTTCGGTTTCCAATAGGGCACTCCTGCGGCTGTGCAATATATGAGTCATCTCCCCATGGACAACGACGCTTTGCGCTCGCGCCTTCTCCTGTTCATTCGGTTAATGCTGGTCGCTGTCGCTCTGCCTCTTCCCGCCGTGGAGTACATATCCAGATGGTTCGCTCTGGCGGCTCCGCAGTCCCAACGTCGACGGAGCAGGCAACACAACAACCCACGCAAAAAGCACACAAAAACAAATTTCAGTGTCTCGGCAACGCTTTTGTGGCATTGCCAACTTATCCTCCGCCGCAGCAGCAGTACGAACGGGTTTCGATTCGGGATTGTGACCAGAACAGAACATAAAAAACACAGAACAAAACAGAGCAGAATACACTCGTAAAAGTGAAAAGGATTCCAATAAAGTGTTATCGTAATTGGAATTTGCATACTTCTTTCGGAAAGCAACAAAAACAGCAACAACAAAATATGAGGCATATCTGGCTGCTGGCTCTTATCGCCTTTGGATCTTCCCGGTTTCCAGGTATGAATCGGTTGCATCTCCCCTCTTGCACATCTTACATCTTTGCCGCTATATAAACTGCATATATACACATACGCTCCTCTAAAAAAAAACAACACACAGAAACATATTAATTTGAATTCAATTTACCATCTTTATGAGTTCTGCTCTGAATGGTGCAGCTTGAACTCTCTGGGAAAAAAAAACATAAGAACATAGAAACATACGATTGATTATGCGGGTTCCACAAACTTCTTCAAATGAACTCTTTACAAGCACGATTCTATCGTTTCGTCAGAAATATTGAACAAAGAAATACTTATAATATTCTTCTTCTGCTTCATGCCCATGTAAATTTGCATAATCTTGCGATTATAATCCTTGGGGAAAATGTCTAGTGCACTTGCCACTGCCTTCGTTTCTATGTGACTAGTGTGGGTCTCGGTATGTGTGTGTGTGTGTGTGTGTGTGTGTATTGCAGGCGCTTAAGTAATCGATGGATTACCCTGCACTGCTTCTCTTCGCTGACCTAATAAGGAAAACCTTCTACAAAAGTTTCTAGTCCCTGAAAATATGAAATGATACAGGAATTGACTCATCGCTCATTACCATACCATACCTGATGAACAACATAAAGTGTTTTATAGTTAGGTATGCATATAGGGTTACAAATTCGCCATCCGTTTATGGGGCCCCGTCCCGTAGACCCGGCACCAAACTCCATAAAACACTTGTCTATGACCCTAACCATCACCAGCTCCGAACATAAGTGCTCGGAAGGGTTTTCACTTTTATGGATAAGCTTTCCTTAAATATCATCTGGGTGTGGGGAGGGGAGTGTTGTCTGTTGTCAGGCAGAACGTGTGTCATTCATTGAATGGATGACAATTCGGGAACCACTTGTAACCAGGGCTTGCCTTGTCACTCTCTTTCTCTCCGATGTTCAGTGCCTACAAATAGACAAATTAGTGGTACTCGGATATGGGGCATGGGCAGAATTGCGGGATGGGTTCGAGCGAGTACTGTGGAGAAGGAATGGAAGGAATGAGCACATTGTTAAAAATATCAACGTGATTAAAGTGGCTCTTGAATAATTAAGCAGTTGGAGCGGAGCGGGCAAAGGGAGGCGGGAGCCGTCAGATGATGATGGGAATGGCTGAGGGAGAAGTAATTGTCATATCATGGGCGTCTCTCCCTCTCTGTGTGTGTGTTTCAGGGTTATTAATGCGGTTTATCGATATTAATTATCATACAGATAAGACAGCAGAAGAGTGTGGCATAAGTGAATTGACAATTTTCAATCCCAGTGGATTAAGAGAGGCATATCATGCTCATGCCCCGTGACTTTCTGCTTTATATTCATATGTTATATACAATTTTACATTTTTGTGAATTTTTCCTAAAAAAATAGATGAACTATCCAAAAACTTAAATAATGAACTCTTCGGTGAATCTTTATACCAAATCGTTAAGCTATAGTTCGAATCATATAGAAATATGGGATCACCATTTCAAATATTGAATTAATGGTCTTTTAACCATATATCCAAAACATCTTTCATTATCCATGATTACGTTGGATCGAAGATAAATAAACGCCTAACTCCATAAGGCTGACCTAATTCCTTGATTCGATTCCCACCGAAAGGTAAGCACAAAATCGCAAACTACGCCAAGGATAAGCAAGGTGTCTTGTCCTGTCTTGTTTCCTTTCCTAACGAGAGAGCAAACAAAACTAATAACTTTGGCATACACACACGTCCACCCGCCTAAAAAAAAGCAAACCTCTAAATAATGTATGTATGTATGTATCTCTATAAAATACAGAGTAAAATTGGCACTTTTAGCTGGCATTAAGCAATGCGCTAAACTGGCGAATGACGCAACGCAAAGCGATGTACATCCTTGATCCAAATGTATACATGTACAACGAAAAAAACGTGGCGTATGTAAATGCATGTGTTTGTGCGGAAGGAGGGAGGAAGGAGCGTATACGTATTCCTGCTCAAGTCCCGAAATGAATTCCATTCCGTGATGATACTTTTGACGTCCTGACCTCAAAGCAATGGGAATTGTGGCACGTATGTGTGGCATACTCGCACATCCCGTCCCATTCCATTGCCTCAGTTCACTTGAGTCGGGTTCAGCTGGTTTCAGTCATCCAGAATGGGCGTTGACACGCTCCTCGGGAAAACAGAAAGGGGATTGGCCCGGTTCCGTTAATGGTTTTATGTTGCCAGGGCCTTGGGGCATAGGCAGAGGCATAGGCTCGAACTCAACTATCGCCAGACACGGAAATCTGTTGAGGAGCTTTCTTGGAGTGGTTTTTCAATGCATAATGTGCCCCGAAAATAATTAAAATCTATTCCAGGTGTGCTGACCTTGCCCGAGGCACACCCAGGCAAACCATCATCCGCCACAACCGCAGCTGGAGGCGGAAACGGAGGAGGTGCAGGCGGTGGCGGCGAGGCGAGTACAGACTACAGTGAGTACGATGAAGAGGAGCCGCAGCGGTCGCCTGGAAACCTGGCCAAGTCCACAGCAGGTCCCAAGCTGCCGCTTCCGTACTTCGACCAGCTGAAAGTGGACGTCTATGTGGGGCCCAATGACAGCAGTGTGAAGGTGGAGTGCCCCGTCAAGAACTACAATGGTGAGTGTGGCTAATCAATGCATAGACCGTACACGACTCTAATTGAATCTTCTCTTCTGCCAGCCCAACACCATGCCATACTCTGGTACAAGGATGACAGCCCCATCAGCAACGGCAACACCCTATTTAGCACAGTCTACGGCCTAGACACAAACTTTACATTGACCGTGCCCGTGGCGGCCAATGCCACGGACGGGCAGAAATACTCCTGCCATGTGATGCCACCCGATGTGCGCCGCGAGGTTACCATCCATCTTGGACTGGAGCCAAGCACCCCGGCTCCTGCTTCGGCCACCGCACAACCTACTTCCGCCGAAGGGTCGGCGCCGGTTTTGCAGGATTCTGGCCTATGGATGCTCCTGCTCTTGGCCGCCCTCCAGTTGGCAGTTCGCTACTAAATCTGAACCGGGCCAAGTTCAGTTAACGCAATTCTACCACCGGCACTGAACCTCCCAGCCCGGGTAATGCTTGGAGATGCGCACCAAAAAAACGAGCTTGTTACTAAGATACAGTATGTCAAGAAAGTATTTTCACATTATATTGTGTGTGTTTCCCCAATCTGCCTTGTGATTTCTTCTACTATTATCATATAGTTTCCCTAAAGAGATCAGTAATATTAAGATACGAGTATTTTAAACACTTACCAAACATATTCCTTGTAAAAACGCTTTCTTGAAACACTGTATGTTTGTCGGTATATCTAAGGAAGGAATCGATTTCTTGGCGAATTATGTTAGTTAGGTGTTGCTTTGTTATTGTATTATAGAATATACTACTATATTTATGTATGTGTAGATCTTGAGGAAGCAAAAATTCCTAGGGCTACGTTACTGATCAACAGATTATCTGAGTTATGCTTCCAACTTTTGCTTCCTCTTCTTCCAAACTTGCAGGACTACTATATCGCCTGTAGATCTGTATATGTAGATTCCTCAAAGTCGAATACTATTTTTATTTGTAACTAAATAGGTTTTAGTTTTAGCTGAAAAGCCAATTAGGTATCGAAATTTGAACTCTTAGAATGCTATTTAATCGTATAGGATCGAATTGCATATAGAATGCTGCTGGCTTTAGACGTGTGCTTAATGAATCGTATTATATTATAATTCTAATTATTAGTACATAATTGTTTTTTGAACTTAGCGGAACAAACAACGGACAGTTACCGATGCGATAACAAGTGGCTTAATGAATCGTTATAAAGGATATATGAAGGATATGATTGATATGTGAAGAATATTACTATATGTATACATATACAACTGAATGTAATTTTGTCGGATATAAAAGTGAAATAAACTAGAGCTGCTATAGACCCAGCTGAATCCATTCAAAATGTTGATAAAGAGAACGAAACGAAAACAAAATCCACCCCTATATATGTATGGATGTATGGGCAGGATTCCATAGCGCACTTTTCACGCGTAGGGAGGGATGGATTGCGGGAGGGTAGGCGAGACAGAGACAACAATGCGTTGTTGCCCCTGCAGCTGCAGCGCAGCGTGGAAGGAGGAGCAGGAGGAATTCCGCAATGTGCGCAGGGCATGCCTGCCATATGGTTCTCCAGGGTGGTGCTGGTGGTGGCAAGAACTTTAGTTTCCTGCTCAGTCGCGAACTGCATAGCGGACAGGACACACCACACACAGGACACTAGTCAGGAACATAAATCTGCTTCAAACCGAAACAACAAAGTGAGTTCTTATCGATCAAAGCCAAGGACGCAATACAAATAGTATATTCCCGTTCCACTAGATGGTCCCACAGAGTGAGAGTCCAGCCCTGTTCGAGGACAATTTCGTTGCGGAGTCCCATACTGTCCCTGAGAATTGTGAGCATAGTCGCTGTGGCCAGAGCCAGACTGCCCTGGAGGTATACGAGAGAATTCTAAGGCGTCTACAGTCACAGCAGGAGGCCTATGCCTCAAGGGTCGACGAAGCCGCTTTGATAAAGCAAATTTGGATTGCCAGCTTTACAGGAAACCGACTGCAATATCGAATGTAGGAGATCAAAGATCGATTATTAAAGATTTAGGAAATAATATAGCCATATTTGTGAAAATCCAACTCGAGCGTTTTTAATTCTTCCACTCCATAGTAACATAATATTTTCAATACAAGAAAAACACCCAAAATTCATTTTGGTTCACGTTCTGTTGTTTATTCAAGCTTCCAACATACATATTCTCGTATAGTTCACAACATACAGAATGGATATAATCAAATGTCGGATACTTACCCATCAATTCACCCGGAGTCAAGCAAAGTTTCTATAAACTTTGGGTATGGGGAAAATATGAAATATACAATACTTGACAAAATGTTGTTATGCAGCATTTTTAATAGTTTATTTAAACGGTTTTTCCTTTTTAGATTTATAAATTCATAATTTTTTATTTGCTTATTTTAAAGGCTGTTGATGTCTTTGATGTCACAAATGGAATTTTGATCTGTGATAATTCAATCAGTTTATAATATTGATTATTTTAATTATCGACTCTACTGCTACAGACTCGTGTAAATATAAAGTATATATTGTATATTGATTATGGGAGGATCAGCCGATTCATTAGATTCGATTAGATTAGATTATATGTAATTGGCTCTGATTGGACAATGCTTTCATTATATTCGTTCATGATGTTTCTCAGTTTATTACACATTTATGGAGAAGAATAATTAATATATGTGGAAATCAGGAAATCATAATTCGAAACAGTAATGGTTATAGATAATTGATGGGGCGTCTGCTCCGGTCCGCTGACATAAGCAAACAGCTCGAATAGATTTATTGAAATTACGAATTAAGATTAAATTAATATTCTTCGAATTTTATAATTATTTATTATTCATTCATCGTATATCATAATCTTGTCATCTTGTCAGGCCAAGAAGCAATTGACTTTTCTCATTGATATTTCTTTTCGGATTTAGGTTTTATAAACATAAACATTGTCCTTAATTTTTCATTCATTTATGGAGTAGAGGTGGAATCAACTTGACTTGAGTTCAACTCGGGTTTATTTGAGTTGAATTTTGTGATATTATTTATATTTTTTGAGTATGGTATACGTATTGGGTTTATAGGACTTGATGGGCGGTTCGCGCATACGTTTCATGTCGGTTGGATATGGCTGTGGACGTTTATAAGCCGCTGCATTTGTCGGTATTATTGATGGACGTGCTATAAAATTGGTTCATTATTACTTTTAGTATGTTATGCGTGTTTCAAAAATGGTTTAGGTCGTTAAATATAAAACGTTTGATTGTTATTATAAAATTAGTCATTCTTTTTTATTTGCTTTAGAAGTTTCAGTTTCAATCACTTGTTGTGCTACAAACTACCCCAACGAAACCCATCGAAAGTGCGACCCCTAGAATTTAGAGTGAGGGAAAATAGGAGATCTAATAGATCTAGTCTATACGAACTACGACTGTAAACAAAAGGCGTTATCAACTCCACTTACGTTTGCTGTACTCATAGCCGGTGGGTGGGCCACGCTTGGGAGGCATACGATGTGGATGCTCGTATGCGTAGACCGCCTCCTCTGCCTCTTCGGCTCTATAAACAACAACATTTTATATTAGCTATGATATGAGCAATCTTTGGTCGGGGAGTAAGTTCTGCTCAGATGCAAGGCCGCTCCGGTTGGTTGGGTAATCCTGGTTGGTCAGTAAATTATACAAAATTATACTTTACAATTAACTTACTCGGGCGGATTTTCCGCGGCTCTCTTGATGAGGTTTATATACTTTGGAGCACTGCTGCTGCCAGCCCCAAACTTCTTATCGAATACAGATCTGCAATCAGATCAATAACATAACTGAGAAACCGATTCAATCATTATTTGTTTCAACAATTTACCTGTAAGCCTCAAGATTCGGTCCATGGATGCTTTTGGCTGACTCGGGATCCATTTCCATGAGTTCGCGCAGCTGTTCGTGCGACACTTCGTCATTTTTGTCTGGAATTAGATACTTACGGATCTCGGCCAGGGCGTAGGCAATGCGGGCATAGCACTCGGCCGGGGTAGCCACAGTGCTGACCTCCAGAAACAGATCCTTCTGTAGATGGGAATAGCGCGGATCTCCGGAATTCCGCAGCTGTTCCTCCTTGTTGCGATCGCGAATAGAGCTGCGCCCCTTAATGGCGATCTTGCACTGCGTCTCCTCCTGCAGGCGGCGCAACGAGTTGCCCTTGGGGCCCAATATCTTGCCGGTGAAATTAAACTGCAAGTAACAGAGGGAGTCGGATATGGTAGCTGGTGAATGAATGTTAGGTTATTCCCCCTTACCTTTGGATATTGCTTGACAGGCACAAACACCTTTTGTGTGATTTTCATTGGCTTCTGCTTGTACACATCGGCATAGAATTCTTTGCCAGGAATGCGACCTGTGCAGTAAACACGGTCCACGGCTGTAAAGTTCAAATTTATCGTTTAAGTACATTTTAATAGCTGCACACCTATACTGCAATTGATTTTTAATCAAGATTTTTACCTTCGTCGATTAGCAGAGCACATAAGGGAAATTCGGCGGACAAACGCTGACGCTCCTCATCTAAGTCGGCCAAAAACTTTTGAGCCACCTCATTCAGGCGCGGCTGATGATCATGCACAGGTGGCTTTTCAATGAATTTCTCTATAAATTCGCCTGAACCTTCCATATTTAAACAATTCGTCTCAATTTTTGTGGCACTGGAAAATTATGTGTATAGTGCTAGAGATGATAGACTAATGAGCCAATATATCGATCAAGTTTGAAGGTGCAAGAGGTGATGAAAATATTAACATGGATATTGTTTTTGGGATATATCTTCAACGGAAATCTTATCTGAGTTAGGGCAAATCGGCGCAATTTCTCTTTTGTTTTATTGACGATTGAAATTTCTAAACCCGCTACTTCTGATTCTAGTTACATGTTTCAATGCAGGGGCTCGATAGTTTTCTGCGATAAGCAGCTCTTAAGATTTTATTTTTAAAGATTAACAGATCATTTGTTGTTTATCCTTATTTGGGACTCATTTTATATAGTTATAGTGTAGTCTATTAATACTTCATGGAAATCTGACAGCCCTAAATTTTGTAGCGATGTTATAAATATTGCAAGTAGTTCAAATCGCTCTGAACTAGCTCCAGCAGGCCGATGTCTATCGATACTTATGGCGGCAATACTGCAAATAAACAATAAACGAATATAAACAATAAAATGGCTAGCGAAGACATATTTCAGACTGAATACTCCGAAGAGCCGGAGTTGGAGGTTGAACAAAGAATGGAGACAGAACCACTGGATGCAGCCGAAGCAGAAGATGAAACAGAGGATGTGAATCCAACAGAAGAGACGACGCCTCCAGAAAACGCTGCCGCAGAAAAGCCTGGTAAAACAGCCAACTTTTAATAAAATGCGTTTCCACTTCATCAACTCTTTTATTTTAGTTGCCACCAAGTCAGCTGCCGATCACGAGCCTGAGGCAAAGCTAACCCAGTTGCCTTTGGGACGCGTGCGGAACATAATGAAGCTGGATCCCGATATGCATGTGGCCACGCATGAAGCGGTTTTTGCAGTGACCAAAGCGGTGGAATTGTTCATTGCCTCGTTGGCCCGGGAGTCCTACACCTACACTGCACAGTCCAAAAAGAAAACAGTTCAAAAGAGAGACGTAGAACTGGCCATTTCGGCGGTAGACAGCCTGATGTTTCTCGATGGCGCCATGAACTTTTAAGTGAACTGTGATAAACCCTTGGACTTGGGCAGCAGTGAACCCCAATAACGTTATTAAACTTAATCTCAAAGATGTGAAATAAATTTTGTATTCTTTTAATTTGTTATATCTGTATATCTGGGCTTCCTCCAGCCCGGACAAGACCCGATAACTCTGGGCGTAAAAGTGCACACCCCGAGAGAAAAACAAATAATGTACGTTTCTCTTTTTTTATTATAATTTTTTTTTATTTTAGGGTTGTGTTGCGGCAAACATATTCTGTTGTATTCAGCATAAGGGTTAAATTTTAAAAATAATATTAAAATTAATACAAAACAAACGTTGAATCGCATGAACAGAAAATAATAAAAGTATACTCATACATTGAAAGGACAACGTTGAACGTATCCGAATACTCGTTTCGGGGGGAATAGTAACGAAGCCGGCAAAATTTGTGTTTTTTTTGTTTTCTTTAATTTGTTTTAATATTTGATGACGAAACTTGTTTTTTGTTGTTGGTTTGGGGGCGGTCCGTGGAGGATACTTACTTGGTCGTTGGGTAACATGTGCCTGTCTCGACTTTATTTTTTGTTGGTTTATCTTATGGAACAATAATTGGAAAACTTAGACTAACATTTCGCTGTGATGGTTTTAGAAATGAATTCATTTGTTGGGGTTTTCTTGTTTTGTGTTCTGCTCTGCTCTCTTCTTTTGTTAATTGAATTGAATGCGTTTTTGACTATAATAAAATTAAGTTTTGTTTTGTTTTGCTTTTCGCTTTTGTTGTACAAAGATTTAAGGTTGTATAAAATTTGATGCATTGATTTCTGTTTCGGATTTTCCTTTGATTGCTTTCGGATTTGAACACTATTCGAATATTGGAACAATTGCAATAAATAATTAGCTTTTTTTCATTTTATTTGTTTGTTGAAGCGAAATATATTAAATATGTGTGTATGGTTGGATTATTGAAGTTTAACATTTTCTTTTCGATAATTTGTTTGGAATATTACTTTTATTCTTTATGCTTAACGTTGTTTTGTAGTAGTTGTTGTTCTTGTTGTTGTAGTTGTTGGGGTATTTTGGTTAAGCGATGGGTTAACGTATTTTCGGATATGGAGCCGAGCGGTAACGCACGCTTTCACGAGAACGTGATCCAGTTTCGTACTGAGCAGATGAATGTGATCCCGAGCCCGTGGTGGTCGGGCGATATGACGATGAGGAGCGACCGTTGCTTGGTTTTGCTATTTTGAAAAGAATTTTATTTGTTGTTTAGATTTTTCATTGTTTTTGTCTCTGTGGTGCTTTTCTTTTCTTGGTTTGTTTTCTGTATTATTCTCTCCTAAGATATACATATATACAATGGGTAAAACGAAAAAGAAATACATAAATAAATTGCTTAACCGGTTTTGAATGCACTACACCCTGGGAAATCTTTCCTTTAAATCTTTACCTCTGCGATTGCATTGAATTTACTTTGTTTTTGTTCGCGTTTAAAAAAAGGTTTCACAAACTTTGCATCAATTTTTGGATGAAAATTGAGACATATCACAGTTTGTACATATGTATTTTGAGCGTTAATTGCGGTTTCCTTGATGCTGTTTTATGGATTGGTTTTCTATATGTGAATTGAAACATTTGCTTTTGTTGTAGTTTGGTTTTTCGAACTGTTCTTTTCTGGACATACATGTTAGTAGTCTTTCAATTAATGAAGATGATTTCTGGCCGTTTTACTGTTTGGTTTTGTTGGCATAGTGCATTTAAAATCTTGTTAAATATGGTGGGATGGGTGTTTCCGTTGATCATAATTTTGAGACGCGGTTTAATGGCGGTTTCTGGTTTTCTTTTTTAAAATTTACTTTTCTTATGTTTGGATACTTTTGGTTTTCGGTTTTTTTTTTTTTTGCGCGAGTTTAGTTTAACAGTTTAGTTTCCTTTCTATTTGTTACTTTTCGCAATCTCTGTTTTATCTTTGTCCTGCTGTGGGGAAAACATTAATATATCTTACGTAGAAGTCATCTTACCTGGATAGGCCGCCGCATACGATGAGGAGGAAGAGTGTGCATGGTACTCACGCCTGTAGTCACGCTCGTAGGAGGTGCTGTCGTACTGGGCATGGTGCTTCGACGACTGTGGCGGCGGTGTTGCATATCGGTCGTACTCCCCATGATGGTCGTACAGTTCATGGTCCCTTGATCTATTCAACGGATGTGATCTCATGGATTAGACAATCAGGATTGGGAAAATATATTCAGGCTAGCCTACCTATGGGTCTTAACTATGCCATAGTTTGGATCATCCATAACATACCGCGCCTTCTCCAGGATTGAGTAAACTTTCGGTTTGGACGAGGCTGGTGGCGGTGTACTGTAAGAAAATCAATCCTCAATAATTGTTAAATCATCAATCGCTTAAAAAAGTCATACCGAGTACTATAGGCTCCGTGTTCGCCATATGATTTCGAATAATGGTGCGATTTCTTATATATCCGCTCCTTTCCATCCATTTCACGCAACTGTTCGAGGCGTATGTCGTCATTGGCATCAGGTATCATGAACTTACGTACTTCCCCAAGGGCATAGCTGATGCGATGGTAGGCCTCCGCTGGCGGGGCCACTGTGGATATTTCCACATGCAGATCACGGCTGAGATGTGCATATTTTGGATTGCCCGAGATCCGCAGCTCCTCCTCCTTGCCATGGTCACGCATCGAGTTGCGGCCCATAACGACCATTTTGCACATTGTCTCCTCCTGCAGTTGACGCAGTGTGTTGCCCTTGGGGCCCAGGATCTTGCCAACGAAATTGAACTTGGGATACTCCTTGATCGGGAAAAGGACCTTCTGGGCCACACGGATAGGCTTCTCGCTGTACACGTTGGCGTAGATCTCCGGCTTGGGTATGCGGCCGCTAACCAAGATTTTCTCGACCTCTGCGAATGGATAATCAATCGATTATATGCGCTACTTTTTACGTGTCTTAGCTACGCTACTGACCATCGTCCAACAGACGCTTTGTTATGACATGCTTCTTCTCCAGTGTCTTTTTTTCCTGCAAGCACTCCTGCAGATAACCATTTGTCTTCTCGTTCAACTGGGGTGTGTCCCGCAGTCCGGCGTGACTGGTGTTGTGGCTACCGTCCGCCTCGGAAGTCTCCGGAGCACCCCCGCCGGCTGCTGCTGGCTCATCCCTACGTTTCCGCTTGTAGTCTGCTGTGTCCTCGTTGTAGTCTCTATCGTAGTCGCGCGGCATAGTACTCAAATGTAAAGTGAAAGATCGACGATTTCCACTATTTGGAAAATTTTTGGAAAAATTGAAAAATATTTGTCCGAAAAAAGTATGTATGGGTAAACAGTGTGACCGCGGATTGATAAGATATACGGTCGCACCCTCAGTAATATACCAAAATATACTGTCTAATTTCAAAAATATACCGTAAATATACTGACGAATTCAAGTTCTATTATTCATATTCCCCGTTTTCTTTGTTCCGTCGAATATTCCCAGCTATATAGAACATTTAGCCGTGCCCACATAATTTTAGCCCATTGATGAATAAATTTTCTACACAATTGGTTAGTTTTTAGTACATGCTTTTATTGCATTTTGACCAAAACAAGGTTTAAACAAAATAGTTCAACAAAAAAAGAGTCGCAATGTTGCTGGTATGCGGTATGCGTATGCGTGTATAGGCCTTTTTATACCCTATTTCGTTAATTTTATATGAATATGAAACGTGATTTATAAAGACCTTTTCTCAAATTGATATTCTTTACACATATTCATCTGTATTATTAGTATCTTGTATGTATTTATCTCGATCCTGATACCTACGGAGCCTGGGATGACAAACATTTTCTCAATTCTATATCATCCATTTCCCCCAGGGTATTTGTGCATGGAATTAGCAACATGTTTGTGTATGGAATGAGACTCATTGTTGCAATAGCGAAACTGCGGCGAATCGGGTATTGCCTATATTTCAAGCTATATAGATTTGCCCACTTAGCTTTATCGCATAGATAAATACATTTTTTACAAGATTGCTTCTTAAAATTGCTTGTAGGTATTTTATTTTGACCAAAAAACGGTTTTCAAGTAAATGTTGCCGCAACTTTTGTGTATGGAATGCGCAACATTTGTGTATGGAATGAGACTCATTGTTGCTAAGGCGAACTGGGGCGAACTGCGGCGAATTCAAATTCCTCATATTCTTTGTTCCGTTGAATAATACTATCTATATGGAAGATTTAGCCATGCCCACTCAATTTTGCACGATTGATGAATCAATTCTATACATGATTGGCCTATTCGAAATACTTGCATTTGTTGGATTTTTATATAAAATTGAAAATTTAATTAATAGATGAAAAAAATACCATTTAGCACTAAAAAACACCACATGGGAGCGCGGCGAAAACCAGTTTCTACAGTATATACGGTCTCACTTGAAAAATATACCGAGTGGTGCGCGCCAAATCGAACTTTTTTGAATGTGAGCGACAAGGATTTAAATGTTGTCAACCGGGCCTTTATCTATGCCCACATAATTTGATACGATTAATGAATCAATTTTCTATTTAACTAGCCAGTTTTTAGTCCTTGCTTTTATTGTATTTTGACTAAACAAGGTTTAAGCAAAATAGTTCAACAAAAAAACAGTTGCAATTTCGCTGGAATTTGAAGACATAACGCTTGTATAGGCCTTTGTACACCCTTTTTTGATAATATCATATGAAGATGAAACGTAACTTATAAGGACCTTTTCTCAAATTGATATTCTTTAGACATATTCAAGTACATTATTAGTATCTTGTGTATATTTATGGCGATCCTGATACCTAGGGAGCCTGGGATGGCAAACATTTCCTCAATTCTATATCATCCATTTCCCCCAGGGTATGTGTGCATGGAATGGGACTCATTGTTCTGAACCGGTTATGACGACTAATTCTTGGTTAATCTTTCTTCCGGCGAATATTCCCAGCTATATAGATCTTTTGTTTTTGCCCAGATAATTTTATATGATTGCTGAATCAATTTTCTATTTAACTGGTATATTCTTAATACTCGCTTTTATTGAATTGTTTATAAAATGAGGTTTAAGCAAAACCGGTTAACAAAAATTTCCACTAAATCAATTTCCTTACATGGTAACTACACACTAGCTACAATTTCGCTACATAGTAACGACATGTTAATGTAATTACCAAAGGCGCCACCTGAAGGGGAAATGTGTACGTTATCCGTTATCCACTTTTCGACTTTCGGCTGGATAACAGCCGATAGACAATCGTGTGCGCCTAACAGCACGTCAAGTGCTCTCAAACTGCCATGGAATCGCGCTTAACAGAACGCGGGCGAGCACACGAGCACATCTCAAGTCGGCGGAGTGTTGCCATATTTCGGCGTAAACATAGTAAAAATATACGAATAAAATACACACTTGAGAGAAAAAAAAAATTAGGGCCATAGGAAGGTTGCAGTCACATTTGCCGAAACCGAATCGAATTGACTGCGAAACGTGCCGCGCACTGTGATAAGCACCCACTATTTGGCATTAAACGCGGCGACTAATTGAGAACGGGCTCCGTGGGGGAAGCAGGACAAATGGCGGAAAACGGAATGCGTGTGGGCCCAGGGTCATCTGTAGTGGCGGCAGCGGTAGGCGCTGTGGTTGCGACGGGCACAGGTGCTGCCAGCAATGGCGAGCACGAGAACGAACATAATGCGAATGGGGATATCGAAAAGGCTCAGCCGGCGCCGGCCATCCAGAAATACATGCAGGAACTGATGACAGAGCGGTCGCGCATGGAGAACCATTTTCCATTGGCTGTCAAGCTAATCGACGAAGGTATCGATTCGATGCGTGTGTCGCTTGCCCTTTGCTAGCCAAGTGCTCAATTTACCCTTTTTCTGGCCATCTTTCAGCCTTGGAGCGGGTGCAGCTAAATGGGCGCATACCCACGAGAGACCAGTACGCGGATGTCTACCAGCAGCGCACCATCAAACTGTCGCAGAAGGTGCACGTGCCCATTAAGGATAAGAAGTTCAACTACGTCGGCAAGCTGCTCGGCCCCAAGGGCAACTCCTTGCGCCGTCTGCAAGAGGAGACGCAGTGTAAAATCGTCATACTCGGTCGCTTCTCGATGAAGGACCGGGCACGCGAAGAAGAGCTGCGAAACTCAGCAGACGCCAAATACGCCCACCTGAATCTTCCGCTCCACGTCGAAGTATCCACCATTGCCCCACCCGCCGAGGCGTACGCCCGCGTGGCCTACGCCCTGGCCGAGATTAGGCGCTACTTAACACCGGATAAGCACGACGACATTCGCCAGGAGCAGTACAGGGAACTCATGGAGGATCCCGAGGCGGCTAAGAAACTAACACTGCGCCAGCTCCAGCTGCAGTCGAATGTGGCTGCCAGCAGCGGACCGCCTCTCTCTGGTGGCAACAATGGCAACGGCAACAATCGCTCTGGCGGCAACTACAGGTGCGTACTGCTACCCAGTAGTGGGTGTCCCATTATTAAGTTTCACTGATTTGGATCCCTTTGCTTGCAGACACAAGTTTCCGCAGCAATCGCATTATCACCACAACGAAGAGACTGTCTACTATCGCTCACACACGAACGCCTACCACCAGCCAAAGCCATACGTGCCCCGTGAGTGTCGAGGCTCGAAAACCTTTGGGTTTTGTTACTTACTTCTATCCTTATTTCAGCCAATCAACGGGGAAATACCATGCACACGACTATGCAACCACAGACGATTGTGCGAGCCTCGCCGCCCGGAATGGTGGTCAGTGCGGCCAGTTTCAATGGTCGGAATGCAGGCCTGGGCAACGCCGGCGGTGGCGGTATAATGGCAAATAGCATTGTGGCCACCACAGGCGGCGGCATTGGTGGCACAGTGCAGCAGACCATGCGCTACCGTCCCGCTGCTCCCTATCAGTTTGTCAAAAAATAATATACATACAGTGCACATCCATTGTTGAACCATTTCGCGGCCACCCCATCAACGTCAACGTCATCGTCATCGCCATCGTACCATCCACACGGATCCACACCCATCCACGCGAACACACGCTGCTCCAAAGGTAGAAGTAATCATTAAAAAAAAAAAAAAAAATCATTGAACAGTTTATCACGCATTGATTTTACCAATATTTCGAGAAAGTGGAAACCAAAAACGAAACGAATTGAATCGGTAAATGTATGATTAAGAAAACTAGCCTAAGTAGTCGAATGCTCTAAGAAACAGATGACGAAGAGGATCGATCACCCTCCCCACAAACACACACACACCCCACCTGTACACCCACACAAACGACACTGGCACTCCTCCAAATTTGATTCAAAATCGGGGGAGTCCGCGCTGGAAACATTTTAATCTGTGCGCTTGTGTCTGTGTGTGTGCGTTGGACTCTGCGAGCATTTGGAAGAACCCGAACCAAACCCCTCAATGTGGATCGAGTTGAAACGAATTGGATTGAATTGTTTTTGTATTCAGGAAGGACCCCAGTTGGCCCAAATGTCCTTGTTTTTGTTTTTCTCTTGATTCTTTATTATTATTATTATTATTTTATTATTGACGAATTAGTTTTTCATTTAGGTATATATCCTTTCATATTTAAGTATTTTCGTCTGCATATACGTATACCCCCAGACCCCGATGCTGCTTGACCTTTATGTATGCTTTATTTATCCAACTCCCCTGCATTTTCAACTACCTTTTTTTGTTTATTGAATTTTTATTACGTTTACGATTAGAGGAGGCTTATTATTATTATTATTTTTATTCGTTACGTTGCCAGGACAAATATAAACCTATTTCAGCTGTGTATGAATACACTATATATATCCATATATATGATATGATTTATTACACATAGTACATATGTAATACACAACCACACACGTACACATACACCGCAGACATGCATATACATATATATTCAAAGCATCAGCATAACTACATAAAAACCAAAAGAAGGAACTAGTAACGGAGCAAAGGAGAATAAATTTACATAGATCGGGGCGAGGAATGCATTCCTACGACTCGACTACGATAATATTAACGTACACATAGAGCATGGGCCACAACCGACTCCGACATACATAAATACATAATTGTTATTGTTGTTGAAAGCAGCAACTAAAATTGTAATAGAAATTATGCAAATATACATACGAAATATGACGACAAATGTTAAATTGCAGCTTAGTTATTCTTATTATTTTGTTACCCATCCCATCCCCCATCCACGTATAGAGATGTGGAAAAGAAATATACGATGTAGAAGATACATAATCGCTTTATTGTAGAGGTGCCCCAATGGAGTTAGAGTTTGATTTAGTTGAAGATGCGCTTCTGAAGCCGCACACATACTCACACACACACACAAAGCGAAACAACCATTATTGATTTGTATTTATTTTTGAAACCATTATTGAAACCAATATGCATACATATATACAATACAAATACATATATTCGAATATTTACTATATATTTTACAGTGCATTACAGCGCTGATTATTGTTAAATAAATTCCCCCATTTGAATTCGCCATGTTGACTAAATGTGCACCAAAAACAAACAAAAAAAAACATTGATTAAATCCATAATTTATCAAAAAAAAAACATTGGATAAACATTTTTGATTTTCATTTCTTTAACAAGTCATTTTATTTATGATTATTAGCTAACAAATACGGGATACGACTATCAGTAGTCCCCTCCTCCCTACAATGCCTTTACGAGCTGCATGAGCGTGTAAGGATTCTTATTGCTCATGAACTTTAGCTGCTCCTCGAAGCCCTGCGGCGTCTTGTTGATCCAGTGGCGGTCCAAGTAGTAGTTTATGTAGTTGTGGAACTCCTTGTCCGTGTAGTTTTCCACATGAATGGGCACAAAGGGGTCGATGTGCTCGAAGCCCTCTGTACCCAGCAGATAGCGTGGCATATACGAGTCCATGTAGCCCTCGGTCATGGCGATCTTATCAACCGACAGAATGCAAACTCCATTGGTCCAGTCGTAGTTGGTGATGTCTAGGAAGGGCTGTGTCAGCGTAATGCGATCTGGGGTCACCCGCTGCTTGTTGTCCGAGAAGATACGAGTCTCGGGGTGGAAAAAGGCGTTGAAGCCATCGATGGCCACCATTATTTTGCACTGTCCCGCCGTCGAAAGCTGTTTCAGCTCTGAAATTAAAGCCACTGTTGTATCGGTGGCATACTTTATGCGCGCTATGCCATGCTCTACTAGCTCTATAAGGGACGAGCCTGCCGGTGTACTCTCGCGCTTGCTCCACACATACTCCTTGTTCGTCTTCAGCTGCAGTTGCTGGAGCAGCTTGGCATTCTGCGTTTTGAAATGCACCAGCCAGGCGGCCGCATCGAAGGGCAGATCAAGCATACCCTCCTGTGAGGCGTTGGATGCCTCCTTGGGCCGTTTCATCCAATTGGGCGCCCAGGGCACATGTACCAGCAGAAAATCATTTATAGCTCCGTAGTGAAGAACATGGGCCATGGTCAATGTCTTGCCCACACCATTGTCTCCATAGAGCACATAGCGCACCACGGGCTTTGTCAGATCTGCGTTCTTAATGTAGTGGAGCAGCTCCAGCGCCGGCGACCGCACCATGAGGCAGGGTTCGGTGAAAGTCTTTATCTGCTGTTCGTACTGTTTGGGCAGGCCACCGCCGGTGAATATTTGCTTCTTCTGCTCCACTGGTATGGTGTAGAATTTGGCCACATGCAGGGCCGAGTGCTCGCCGGGATTGGCAACGGCCGTGCGGAACTCGTTCACGCTAGCTGCCGCTGTTTCCTCAATGGGAGAGGCTTCCGCATTCGTGGACAGTTGCACAACATTGCGCTGAAGTTGTGTGGAGACACGAGACAGGTTTCCCAAATGTTTTCGAAACATTTTCATTGAGAATTTCCGTATTAAAATGTTAAATAATATATAATAATATCGATACACCGTCGATGGCGATTACAGTTCAGGGATGGATGCTACTGAGTATTCAATTCAATAAATTTTAGTGTAATAATAATACACATATAGTATTTCTTACTAATTAAGAATCCTAGCTGGGTTGTTTCTTAGACAATTAGTTCAATTTCATGGTTAGTTTATTGTACGATTAAATTAGTCGATATCTGTATCGAAAAAACGCCTGTTGATTCTGATCACTCCATCCCTGGCAGCCAGGCGGCAAAATTGCGTCTTGTGAAATTGGAAAATCATTTGAATCCGACTTTTGCGTTTTGTGAGTGGAAGAAAACATGTCGTCAATTGATAAACTGTCCATTCAGGGTGTGCGTAGCTTTGGATCCAATGCAGAAGATCTTCAGGTAAGCAGTTGCTTAACTTCAGCTTTATATAAACTTAATAAACTGGGTTTCCAGAGCCTTACATTCTCGTCGCCTGTTACCCTGATTCTGGGTGAGAATGGCTGTGGAAAGACCACAGTAATTGAGTGCATCAAGTATGCTCTGACGGGAGAGTCCCCGCCTGGTAGTGACAGAGGGAAGAGCTTTGTCCACGACCCAAAGATCTTTGGGCTGAATGAATCCTTGGCGCAAATCAAGATGCAGGTTCGGGACAAGCGCGGTGCCCGTGTGTCCATCTGTCGCACCATGAAAGTCTGCAGCAAGCGTGGCAAGGTCTCGTTTGAGACTATGGACTCCACTATCAACTTTCTAACTGATGCGGGACATTCAAAACGTGAGAACCAGGACTCATTGAGCGGCCGCACAGTGGACATTGATTTGGCCATCTCTGACTTCATGGGCGTGTCGAAGGCTATCATAAACAACGTCCTATTCTGTCACCAAGAGGACTCCAGTTGGCCGCTGGACGAGGCCAAGAAATTAAAGGAGAAGTTCGATGCTATATTTGGCATTACCGAGTACAACAAAGCCCTGGATAAGATCATTAAGATGCGAAAGGAAGCCATGGATGAGCTCAAGGTAATGGGTGAGTGTCTAAAATTTTCTTTTTAAGCCATCATAAAGATGTATTAATACAACAGAGGCCGGAATGAAGCATGTGGCGTATCTTAAGCAAGAGATGGAAGTAAAAACGCTGGGCCTGCAGAAGGCTCAGAAAAAATGTGATTCCATCAAAGCGCAGTGCAGTGAATGCGAGGAGGAGATGAAACCCATTGAGTCTAGGCTGCAGGAAATCCGAGACATTGAATTTGAGATTGGAAAACATCAGGCGCAGAAAGTGGAAATGGATACCAAGTACGTACGTTCCAGATTGTTCTTTCCCGAAATCTAACTATCCAACGATTTTTTGTACAGGCATAAGAACTGCAAGGAGCAAATTTCAGCCATTTCCAGGAAAATCAAGACCCATTTTGAGGGTTCTTTGGTTGATTTGGATCTAGAGATCGACAACTTTCATCAGCGAATGTCCGAAATGAGACTCAAACGCTCCGAAACGGAAGAACAATTGTCCAAGCTAAAAAAGTCCCACGGAGAAACGCATCAGACACAGACCGCGCAAGACAAGAAATGTTGCCTGGCCAAGCAGCGGCACCAGAGCGAGCAGGCGTGCAAGACACAGTTGGTAAAGCGGGTCAAGGATCTTTGCCATGAGTTGCAAATTCCCATACCGGGTGATCTGATGGCAGAGCCCGAGAAACTGGTTGACTTACTGCAGGACATCGAAGGGGTCATCTTGAGCAAGCACTGTGAGATCACAGAAGTCTCCGAGCACAACGACAATGCGGATAAGGCCAGGCAGGTGAAGATCGACGAACTGCGCATTGATTTAACCAAGTCGGAACAAGGCGTAACGGCGCAGGAAAAGCAAAAGGAGGCCAGCCAACGGGAGAGTGAGACACTGAAGGTAAAGGTTCAGCAAATTGAAACCTCCATGCAGGAACTGAAGCTGCTGGAGAAGCAGATAGCCGACGCCGATGCCATCTATGAGCGCACATCGAAAAACTTCAATCAGGAGAATTTCCGGGAAATCATAGCCGGCAAAAAGGCTAACATAGCCCAAAAACAGGCTCTCTTCAAGAAACTGGATGAGAAACTGACGTTCCTGGGGTCCATGGCCAAGCTGGTGGCCGAAATGAATCTCAAGGAAAAGGAGCTGGAGAAGAAGAACCAGGAGATCCATCGCGTGCGCAGTCGGCACTCGGATAATTTTGGAAAGTTCTTCAAGGAGCCCATCTCCAACAATTATCGCCGCTCCCTGCAAGGTGCCTACGACAAGGTGCGTCGCGAGATCCAAGATCTAAACGAGCAAGCCAATGCCCAAAAGCTCAAGGAACAATCGTATGAGATAAAGCGCAAGAATCTCATTGCTGAGACTGCTCGCATGGAAAAGGAGCTGAAGGAGGCCGAGGAGCTCATATTTCAAAAGTGCCGCTCCACACCATACGATGAGCTTCTGGAGCGTAGCAAGTTGGCCATTTCCAAGCTGCAGCTTGAGCATGGTGCCCATAAATCTGCAGAGGCTCTGTACAAGAAGTGAGTCCAAACAGTTTTCGCTGAAAAGGGAACCAAAACTAAACCATATTTACTACTAGGTACATACAGAAGATCAATGAAGAGCCGTGCTGTCCCCTATGTCATCACAATATGTCGGGCGATGAGGTGATGTCTGCTGGCATGTTATCTCTGACAATCATTCCCAATCCCTTTGATTTTAGGCCTGTGATCTAACCACCGAGCTATCCGATGAAATTCAAAAGTTGCCAGACAACATCAGTAGATCGGAAAAGGCTCTGAAAGCAGAGCAATTGAAGTACGAGAACTTGTTGCACATCAAACCCAGCATTCTTAAGGTGAAGGAGCTAAAAGAGATCTTGCCCAAGAAGAAGGAAGAGCTGACCGAAGTTGAGATGCTACTGGGAGAGACTGTCAGCGAATATGAGACGCTGATTGCCCTGATTGGAGAGCCCACCCAAAACATGGACCTAGCCAATTCAATGCTGGGCGATATGACTCTGCTCGATGAAGCCCTCAAGGATTCTGTGCGTGTTAAGAAGGATCTGGATCAGCTTAAGGTAGGCGGATGATAAGCTATGATGGACCACGACTCTTACTCTTCGGTTTTTAGAGTAAACTACCAGCTTCGTATGATTCGAGTGTATCGATGGATGCTCTGCAAGCGGAGAAGAGTCAGGTCTCAAAGGACTTGGAGACAGAACGCAAGGAGTTGGACAGCACGCAGCATACCTTTGAGCAGCACGTTGACGCACTCAATCGTTTGCGTGAAGTTAAAAATGGGTAATGTTTTCAAACAGTCAAAACAGTTCCCTATAAGTCGACTAATCCCGTTTAATGACATAGATTAAAAGATAAGCAACTAAAGCTGCAAGAGGGGCTGCAGAGCTTGCCACAGTTGAAGGAGAGGCTCAATGAACTGATTCAACTTATCGTCACCATAACCACAGAAATAAGCGAGCTGAAGGCCAAGATTCAACCGCTCAAACAGAAGCTAAGGGCTGCTATAGACGAGAAGGAGCGTCTGAAAGAAGCCGAACGTATAAAGTTGAATCAGCTTAATTCTAAATATAATTCCTACAAAAGTACAGATCAGGATATACAAAGGTAGGTCCTACAAAAATATTTTAGTCTCAGATAAAACTAAATCTAAAATGATTCCATGCTCAGGTTGCACAAAGAAGCTCAGGACTATGCTAAATTGGATCTGAAGAATGAGATCAGCACACTCGAAGACTCCATAAGGGCCACCAAAGAACAGCTGAAACAATTGGCAAGTGAAGTACTTCAATGCCTCCGATAAAAACGTACCTAATATTTAGTTCTGGTTTCGCAGGAAGCCGAAATAAAATCGAAAACCCTGCAACTGGAAAGCGTAAACACCGAGTGTCTTAATCAGCAGACCGTTGAGCGCGACCTGAAAGACAATCGCGAGCTTAAGCAGCTGCAGGATAACGAAACAGAGCTGAGAAAAACCTGTGAGAATCTGGCCAAAAAGTTGGGCAATTTGGACTTGCGCAACGTCAGCAGGGAGAAAATGGATTTAACCAAGAGACGGGAAGCTGGCACAGTGCGCAAGGGAGAGCTGCTGGGCCAGCTTGGCGAGATTCGCAGTCAGGTGGAGAGACTGCAGCGGGAGATCGATGAACCCCGATTCAGGGAGGCGGTTAAGAATTTCAGAAAAGGCAATTACGAGATGGTTGTCACGCGTCACAGTATTGATGACTTGGCCCAGCTTCGATTTGCCTTGGAATGGGCCCTCATACAGTTCCATGCGGAGAAGATGGAGAAAATCAACCGACTAATCCGGGAATACTGGCGTATGATCTATCGCGGAAACGACATCGACTACATACAAGTGAAGACCGACGAGGTCAACACAGATGCATCTGCTGATCGCCGCAAAACCTACAACTATCGCGTGGTCCAGTCCAAGAACAATACGGAGATCGAGATGCGTGGGCGCTGCAGCGCCGGCCAACGGGTGCTGGCCTCTCTCATCATCCGGATGGCTCTAGCCGAGACGTTCAGCAGTAATTGTGGAGTATTGGCTCTGGACGAGCCAACCACGAACCTGGATCGCATCAACATCACATCGCTGTGCGATGCCCTCAACTGCATTGTGGAGGAGCGTCAGACGCAGTCCAACTTCATGCTAATCATCATCACCCACGATGAGAACTTTATCTCCTCGCTGGGCAAGATCACCAGCTATCATCGTGTGTTCCGGAACGATGAGTGCAAATCGGTTATACGCAAAGTGCAAATCGGTTGAAAAGTCGCTCCTCAGCGATTCTTTTTAATAACTCAATAAATTATCTGAACTGAAGCCTGTTATCGTAATGTTTGCTTTTCTTGTCAAAACATCTATTGCAATAATTGATAATTGTTTGCGAAGTGATTTGTTCAGTTTCCGGGCATGGGCAAAGTCGTGTGGCTGCTGCTGTCGGCAATTCTTCTCGCCACTGATGCTATTGGATACTCAGTACAGTTTGGAATGATGCAATCCCAGGCGGTGCCCATCTATGAAATGAGCTACAACATATCTGAAACGTTTCGTACTGTGGAGATCACACAAAAGGTTGGATTTCTATCATTTGTATCGATGTAAATATGAACTAATTATTTATTTATATGCAGGATAAATTGATTTCCAATATTAACCTGATTTTGGTCTTGGACGAGAGTCAAGTGGAACGGGTGGTGGTGGCAACCATACTCACGGGCGGAATCGGCTGCAACTACACCATACTGCAATTTACCGGCATCCAGCCCGAGGAAAGTCCAGTAATAGTCACGGTACTCATCTACGGACTGCCCAGTCGGCAGGCCTCAAAAATACATCTATCTTAACCTAGCTCAAACACAGATCAGTCTTCGCTCTCCTTGGTAGAGGTAGAGGCCCTCCAATGGTAGCCATCGTCGGGTAGATCACTGCGAATGAGTGGCGATAGCCAGGCTATGTGCATGCGCACTCCAAAGACACTTCTTAGGTTCTGCCTGACTCCTCGTTTGTATTTGAGCTTTCGCTGCTTCGTGCGGTCGGCGGAAACTCCGCCACGGAGCACAATCGGCACATGATAGCCCAACAGGAGGATGCCGTACGCCAAGGCCAGCACATTGAGGCTGTAGAAGAGCAGGTAGATGTTGGTCCAGAAGCCGCCGGTCACCAGCAGCAACATGGGGCAGGTCAGCTTGAGGACTGTCAGCCAATTGCAGTATATGCTGCTATGGATTATCCACATGTAGATCGAGTTGTAGACCAGGGCGTACACAGAGCCCACAAACAAATAGAAAATGAAGCCCATAAAGAAGCGATGGTTCCGGTGGCCGATGCAACAGCCCGTGTAGAGGCAGTGGTGATCCCGCTTCAGTATGCAAGCGCCGCATATCTTGCAGTGCCACGATCTGGGCGGGGCCAGCCGATTGCACTCTGTGCACTCGCGCCACTCAAGGCGTTCCGCCGACTGCTCCGGCGGCGACTCCACTTGCTTGACTGTGGATTGAAATGGTTCATAGTAGTTCCCATCACTGTATCATCAGCTGGACACTGTGTGGCTCACCGTTCACGCTGGTGTCGATCATCATGCATGCGATCATGTTCCCCTTGATGTTGAACACCAGAAACATGGCCATGAGGAAGGTGAAGGTGTGGAAGAAGCCGCCCGGCTCGTGGAATGCCGGCAGCACCACAATAATCTCGAACATGAACACAATCGGCAGAAAGACGCCGATTAGCAGGAAGCACAAGACATCTGCCAGCCGCCGGGGCAGCGGATTGCTCCGGATTTTCATTTTATTATATATTGTATATCTTAAAGTAAACAACGATCGCAGGGCTTGCAGTTCCAGAACTGACGATGGTTCGCTTTTTCATCACGTGCGGCCAAGCTTTCATTGCAAATGAGGCTAAAGCTTTTTTGGGGCCAAGGCGCCACACATTTGTGGCGGAAAGCTTCGCAAGCGAGAGCTTCACATCAGTCGAGGTAGAGTGAAACTTTATCATATTAAAAATAAATTTAAATCAATTAAAAACTATTTCACAGGGCAGAGAAGCTCCAACAATTTCATGTGGGACTTGTGGAAGCGGAAGACTGATACAATTTGCTTATCTTATCAGACACGACCGCACGACAAGTGTACGTAAACCTAATTGAATGAAAATGCTTGCGGCAACTGTTGTCAAAGTAATTAACTTGAAAGGATTTACTCTGACTCGCAATCGAGTCACCGCAATCGATAGGACGCATTAATTATTTGGGTCTTTAATGTGGGGGTGTTTGTTGCTGATTGCCTTCGAGATATTAGGTATTTATGGAGACGTTAGCAGGAATTAGCTCAATAGTTGCAATGGAGTCATCAAATAAACCAGAAAGGGAGGGATCCTCTATGTTTCTGTTGAGGAGCTTTGGCAGGAGTCTCAAAGAATTCCTCAAGAGCACGGGCCTGCATGGACTGAAGTTTGTGGGAGACTCCAGTCTCAGCAGTTGGGAGAGGTGAGAGGAGATGTGAATTAAAAATACAACCCCTACAACCGACATTAGATCATTTTTCCTTTGCTCATTTGTGGTCGCCTTGGTGATCACATGCAATCTCATCGTGAACATCTACGCCAAGTGGGATAGTACACCGGTGATAATTGGGATCAGCCCACAGGCCACCTCCATTCTGAAAGTTCCCTTTCCGGCCATCACCATATGCAACATGAATCAGGTTCAGAGCAGCCAGGTTTCCCATTACAAAGAGTAAGTTCTATCGTTTTTCTAATCCTAAAGATAGAGCTCTAATCCTGTATCGCTGTAGAGGCTCCGATGAAAGTGCTATCTTGAAGCTGTTGTGTAATTCCGAAATCGACGACTCTGATGACCTTGAAGATGTTGTGAAACGCAGTAGTTTTGCTCGGAATACCCTCAGGATATCTGATTTTGTTTCGAATCACTCGCAGCACTGCGATACAATGCTGCTCTACTGCAGATTCAATGCCGTAGAGCACAACTGCTCGCACCTGTTTCAACCGCTCCTGACGGACGAGGGGCTCTGCTGTGTATTCAACTTCCAGCCACCAGAGTTCCTCTACAAGCCATTGTAAGGGTGCATATCGTTTTGTGGGATATAACCAAGTAAATCATCTCCATTCCACTCCAGTTCAAAAAGCAAACGAAATTTAACAATGAAAAATGGGTTTGAGGCGGTCAAATGGAATCTAGAGACAGGTTATCCCGACAAATTACCAGCCAAATATTATCCAGCGACAGCCATTGGTGAGTGGTTATGGATAATAGAAGAAAATATATGTAATTAGTGCAAGAACTTCTAGGGACTGGGATTGCACTGGGATTTAGTGCTGTTCTCGATGCTCAGATGAGCGAGTACTACTGCTCCTCTACCAATGGACCCGGCTTCAAGGTAAGATTGATCTGATATCCATCAAGTAATCTTGTGCTTAAATCATTTTGCAGGTTTACTTCCACAATCCAACCGAAGTGCCTGTTGTTAAGGAGGCAGGACTCATCACCGCCATCGGCTATGAAACCAACTACCGCATGGAGGTGGTACGAGCCGAGGCAGTGCCAGCCATTCGCTCCATTTCTCGGGATGGTCGCCAGTGCCTTTTCGGAAACGAGAAGGAACTGATCTTCTACAAGACCTACAGCCGGCTGAATTGCGAGCACGAATGCATGGCAGGATACTTGTATGAGTCGTGTGCCTGCATACCCTTTGACTATCCGCAGATCTACAGCAACGCCACAATGTGTGGCATGAAGGACACTCTCTGCCTGCGTCGGGCCCAACAGGCTGCCATCCGACCTGAATGGGTCAAGTGCCGGCAGCAGTGCCTGCCCAGCTGCTTCGACCTCAGCTACTTGGCCAGCGGCTTCTCCTTTCCCCTGGCCACTAGCAAATTCCAGTTGGCCAATCCTCTGGTGGAGAGCATGAACAAATCGTATCTGAGTGAGAACATAGCCGTCATCAATGTCTACTACCGTGAGTCCGTCTACTACGGCAATATGAAGAATGCCTATGTCGGATTGACAGAGTTCCTGTGTAAGTTGATCCCTACTGTCTCTCTGACAGATAACTTTATTCTACTCTTTCATGCACTCCAGCTAACATTGGTGGCGTGATGGGCCTGTTTATGGGCTTTAGTGTAATCTCACTGGCCGAAATCTTTTACTTTCTTCTTCTGAAACCCCTCGTAGAACTCTTCATGTGGAAAAGATCACCACAGGTTGACATAAAGCATAATGCATTTGCCATAGAAAAGCCGGGGATTTCCGATAATGAAGCCATGTGGCATACACGAGAACTGTATCCCCAGGGTCTAACGCTAAAGTTCAGCAGAAAAGTAAAGAGAAGTCGAAATAGCTCAAATGTATTCCCCCAGTGAGCAATAATAGAACCTTATAGTTCTACCACAAAATTGCAAATACAGTGCTTGCTAAATTATTTAACGCTTACATTTGTGTATGTGAGCACATATAAAAATAAACTGCCATATCATGCATATCATTTGCTGACCACCAAAAAGAAAAATTCGAATGGAAATCAGTTCAATCTAGCCGTTGGACCCCACAAAAAGAAACACTTGAGTAATTGAATTGAATAATAAATATGAAAACCATAACAAATTTCGGTTATTTGAATAATAAATGAAAAGTTCAATCGTAAATAAAAATCTACATAAGCAAATATATTCCATATATTGTCAAGATCTGAGGATAAATATCAAACGCTGCTGGAAAACCTAACAAAATATTGAGTATTTCTTGAATGTTAATTGAAAAGAAAAAACTCTTCAACTGAATCAACTTCGGGTAGAACATATTGTACATAATGTTGTTTATATGTATATATGTATATATATATGCATAATTTAACTCTCTTAAGCATCTTCTCCTTGGTACTCGTGGAACTCTCACAGCTGCCGTCCTGCGAGGGAGCAGATGGGTCCATGGCAAAGTCCGTAATAGTATACTCTGGCCGTGCTTAATGCAATTAACTAAGTTTCTTGGTTAAAAGGGCCACCCCTAAGAGTGTACTAAGTATCACCCTTATTTATACGATGTATTTTATGTCAATAAGAGCATTTTGGCCAAAATTACTTTTCCCTGCTACGGTAGCAGCTCTGGGGAAGTACATAAAACAAGAATTCTGGTTGCCTCCTCCTCTTCCTCTGGCTGGCCCCCCATTGCGTTCGTTCCCGTTTACGGTTAACTATCGAAGATGCCACATTTCTCGGTCGTCTTGCACTTCTGGGGAAAATTCCCGTGGCCGTGGCCATGGCCGGGACACGGATACGGACACGCTTGCCTTCGCTTTCCCTGCGTTAATTACTGACCTCAACGTGCACGTGAAGCGACTAATTTTCGCACACAGCTATTCGGAGCAATGCATAGCTGCATTCATGCATTCATTCAGCAGGAGCACGGTGTCTCTGTTCTTCCTTCTTCGTCTTTCGTCCGCCTTCTGCTCGACATCCTCTCCATCCGCATCTTTTGCCATCTGCAGACCATCTCTGAAACAGCCCGAAGGGTTTGGCAATACCACAGAAAAGGGGGAGGGCACACTGAGAAACGGCAAGGGTAAAAGCGGAGTGAAAAGCATTCTCACAGTTGAAGACAATTTGCAAAATTGCATCGCTCTTGATGTTTTGCACGTGGATTCCATCTGCTTTCTGCCTTCTTATTTTTGTGGCGAGTCAACAATGCAATTGTGCTCTCTTTTCTGGCCCCGACTGTGCGGTACAGTGCGTTTAAAAAGTGTGGAACACCTATCAAATAAAAGCAGGTTGGATTTCCGCCTTGATCCAAATAAGATATCTATCATGCTGCCATTGTATGATGCGGCATTCTTGATGTCGAATCAAAAACTAACAGATACTGTCTGACTTTTAAACCCTCGTCTTCACGCTTTATCTTTTGGTATTATCTCTTCTAAAGACTTACCAAATTGTCTACAACTGTCTAACAAGATGCTACAACGCATTGCATTGTGGTAGGTTGGTGAGGGTGGGGAGCAGGATTTTAAGGAGTTGGGTTTAAGGGGGCCATCTAAAACCAACTACAAAAAGCATTACTCTCGACCATCTTTCAAGCGATAAGACAACTGGCGCAAATGATTACGACGTGTTCTATGGAAACGTATACATCCAGAGGGCGAATGCTGAGCTGCAAGGGCGGCATCAAGGTACGAAGATAGGGTAGGAAGGGCAGTTGTAACAGGACCCAGTCCCAGTCAGAGTACTAGTCGCAGCCAACGATGCTTCGTAAATGTCAAGAGCAGGACTAGATTCAATTCTTTATGGCTGTGTTAACGAGCCAATTCGCCTCCCACCGGAGTAGGGATGCCAGAAACTTTGGCTTTAGATGAAAAATTATGCCATTAAAATGGTGAAAACTAACCACAAATTATTTTTTAAGTCAGCTCTGGTTAGTTTTCCCCGTCAGGGGTAGAGAAAGTAAGAAGAGGGTTAAATGCGCACACGAGTAATTAACATCACATTTTGCTGGCAAAAGTTGTCAACTTGACAATGAAGTTTGCCCTTCACTGCCACTCACTGGATGGGGGAGGGAGAGGCTGGGGCGAAACGTCCTGATTAAGGTATAAATATTTGATACTAGTGTGGCCCCTGACCCCTGACTCCATACCACATGGCAGCTCCTACTTAAGCATTGTCACTTTATGGGGTTCTGGTCCTGACGCAACCGCCTCAGTTATGCATGAAGTGTATTCATCAAAATACGAGTAGACTCCGAAAACGTACCCGTGAATGTTGCACAGCGTTTTTGGCACGTGTGTCTAGTGGCAGAGGCTGGAAGGATAGATAGATAGATAGATGGATGGATGGCCGGATGGAAGGCTGCATGCAGGGGAAGCAATTTAATCGAATACCAAGAAGTCTTCATTCCAGTCACCCATACATAAACAAACACCCACACACACACACACAGGCGTCGATGGAGAGAGAGGCAGAGAGAGAGAGCAGAGTTGCATGCGGAAAAGCAATTAAAACTTCTTGTCAGTGTCTAGGAAGTGTTTGTTCATATTTTATGATGTTTTCGTGTAGAAAGCTTGATTATGAATGTGTCACCAAGAAGTGTTGCAGCCGCTTCTCCCTCTCTGCCACGCTCTCTGTCTCTCTCTCTCGCTCGCCCTCTGCCTTTCCTGGAGACTGTTGCATGCAACGAGACTGCCTGCCATTGAGGTTGCAAGAATAATGTATAACATATTACACATCCGCTACGTTGGCGCTGCTAGTGGCAGTGCCAGCGTCAGTGCCTCAACAATGAGGAAGACCGAATTGTGAGAATTTTAAATGTGCAAAGTTCCAGCAAACAAAACTTAAGACTTGGCTACCGCCTGATCTCTCGTCTGGCCATATTCGATTGAATAATTTATTGAATTTATCATGGTGTTTGGTTGAGCGTTTTCCCATAACGCTTGAGTGCATCAATATTTCCTCCTAGCAGTTTTGATGGCTGCCACTTAGGAAACCATATTTGGGCCGAGCAAAGCAACAACAACATCTAACAGTCAACAGTATTGGCGTAATGGAACCTTGCAGCCATAATGGCACTCATACTCAAGCGCCCACCATTTGGCTTATGTATAATATGTGCTACTGCCACCCTGAAAAGGGTTTCATAAGAATGGTTTCCCCTGATACCTGCGGCAGAGAACTAGAAACTCGTCGAAAATATGCAAATTTGTCGTCCTGACATGCACATGCTGGTCATCCCCGTTCCCTTCCCTGTCCCCGTCATCCAAGCCCACGCTCGCCCGCACCTGCCTAATGCACCAAAATGCATTTTAAATTGGGTAATTTTACACATGCCACGCCGCAGGCGGCAACAACAGCAGAATCGGGTTTAAAAATGGGCGAGCATTTTGGTTTTCAGATTGGACAGATAATATTCATTGCATCAAACATTCCAGTTGGCTTCTGCTAGCCTGAGGGAGTGGAGGTGGTTGTGGAGGATGTCGGATATTTGAGTCGGTTGGGATTAGGATAAGCCTGACAGGCTGAATAATCAGGACCATCAATCAGGTCTGCTGGCCAGGCCAGGCCGAGCCGGGCCGGGCCATGTCGCTTCGTGCCCTGCACACCTCATTAGCCTAATCGTACAATTGCGCACGGCCGGACACACATAAACGTGGCTTTGAGGGGGCCTTGATGGCTGTTGGAGGCGGGATTAACTTTACCGCAATTTGCCCTCATGCGCTAAATAATATTTCATTTTCAAGAGTTGACTTTTCTCACTGCCGACAGGAGGCTTAGCATTTTAAATCCCGACCACAAGGCTTTTTGACTTCTCTTTTATGTTTCTTCTTGTTCCCCTTAGTACCTATACTTTGTGAATATGTAATCGGTGGGGAATGAGTTCTACGCAGATCTGATACTCATTACATATGCTTTTATAGAGAGTTGTGTGGAACAGCTCCCGAAAAACAGGTGCAAACGCGAATGAAATTCAAGTAATTTGCCTCGAATGCAAGAGGAAAGTGTTCCCAGTATTTGTTTGGGTTACGCCAGTACGCAGACTCCGATGCTGCTGGCAAAAGGGGGACAACATCCACAGGATAGCCATGCACAGAAAAGGGGGACAGCATCCACAGGATAACCATGGATTCAGTCCTCCACAGGACTGCGGACTGGTGGGGCTGCGGCCGCATGTGGGGAAATTGCTGAAATTAAAAAGGCGACTCTTGAAACATTGCGTTTATTGTTCTTCATATTTCGAAATCATATCATTTTTCTCCCTTTTGGGGGAAACAAAACGGTCTAATTGATCTATGAATTTCCATTAGTTTCAAATTAAAAAACATTTTTGTCATAATTGCTCCATATTTCACAGCCAAATGTAATCAAAGGAAAAATTTGAATTTCCTGCGGTCGGTGCAACAAATGAGAGTTTGCAAATGAATTCTGCTCGAATGTCGGTGCAAAATTGATAAATTTGTATTTTATTTAATATCAAAATTGATGCATCATTGCACCGCCCGACATGAGGTCTGTCCAGAATCGCTTTTAACGCGGACGTGATTCCATATGCACACTGATGATATTTAGTTTCATTCGAGTCTAGTCGAATCGATTCCGATTCATTTGTTTTAAATTTGCTCTAAATGTGAGCTAATAAACGGATTGGAGGAGGCGAAAAATGGAGCTGAAAGACAGACCTGAGATCTGAGATCTGCGAGCTGAGCTGCAAATAAATCGTTAGCAATTCATTTTCCTTGATTGTGTGCCTGGGTGTCTCCTTGGGACCCTCCTCCGTCTCCGTCTGTGTGCCCTCAGAGTCTCCACACAAGTCAATGCAATCGGTGTAATCGGAGTAGGAATCGCAGCTTTTCCCCTAATCTCTTTGCTTTATCCTCCGTAATAATAACTACTTCCAGGGCTTTGCTTTAAGGACTTGGCTTCGTCTTATTCTTCTTTGTTCTTC